CTAATGAAATGGGACCCTTGGGAGAGCCACACTTGGAGATTCAGGTGTGGAAGGTGAGAATGTCAGGCAGGAAATGATTTCAACCAACATCTACCCTAAATGACCTGCCCTTTCTAGCACTTGGGGACAGTGCCCTTGGCGCCTCTCAGTCAACCTCAGACAGGCCAGGCCCCCTGTGGCTGCATCTGAGACACTTAGGAGCTCACCTCTTGCCTGTAAGGGTTCTATGCCTCCCTTTCCTCCCCTCTTAGATTCTCTGGGCAAGTTCCTTTAGAGGAGGAGTCAGGTTAGGATTTTCCACATGCCACAAGGCCGTAATAGGGGCAGAGGAAGCAGTGCCACCTAAGGGATAGGAGTTTGGATCTGGAACCTGAAGTGCTGGAGTTACTTTGTGTGCCCTGACACAAGCCACTGCCTCAGTTTCTCCTTCTGCTCCTGCTTCATGAGGCTATTGCAAAGACTGATGAGGCATCAAATATTAAATATAAAGTACATAACGCAGTGTCTTGGGTCTTAGTGAGCTGAGATTGTGCCACTGCGCTCCAGCCTGGGAGACAGAACAAGACACCGTCTCAAAAACAAACAGACAAAAACGTGGAACTGCTGGTGTTGCCAGAGACAGGTATTTGCCATAGACAAGAGCCCTGGGGCCACATCTCCTTCTAGACCTTTGCAGACAAAATTCCAAAGACAGCAAAAAAAATGTTTGTGCTTTGCAGTTTACAATAGCAAAGACCTGGAACCAACCCAAATGCCCATCGATGATAGACTGGGCAGGGAAAATGTGGCACATATACACCATGGAATATTACGCAGCCATCAAAAATGATGAGTTCATGTTCTTTGTAGGGACATGGATGAACCTGGAAGCCATCATTCTCAGCAAACTGACACAGGAGCAGAAAATCAAACACAGCATGTTCTCACTCATAGGTGGGTGTTGAACAATGAGAACACATGGACACAGGGAGAGAAGCACTACACACTGGGGTCTGTTGGAGGGAAATAGGGGAGGGGCAGCAGGGGGTGGTGAGTTGGGGGGGGATGGCATGGGGAGAAATGCCAGATATAGGTGAGGGAGAGGAAGGCAGCAAATCACACTACCACGTGTGTACCTATGCAACTATCTTGCATGTTCTTCACATGTACCCCCAAACCTAAAATGCAATAAAAAAAAATGTTTGTGCTTTGAACAATGGAGAGAAGGGATTTAGTTATAAGGGTTCCTGCTTTCACAGAATTATTCCAGGCTTTGTGTCAGGGTGGTGGCTTCACAGACCATGATGGCACTGGCGGCAACTACCCCTAAGTCTTTATGCGAGCTCTTCTTCCTGGGTTTCATCTACTTTTTCTGTCTCATTTGGGCATCCAGGACCACCCTCCCTGCCACCCACCTCATTAAGCCTAGCATTTTCCAGGGCTGTTCCTTAGCCAATCTTCTTTTGGTCTCCATTCATTTTTCATTTATTGGTTTCAAGTCTTTATTCCAACCACCTGTTCCAACCTCCCTGTCCACCCAGGAAGGTGTGGGAAGTAGAAAAGTTTCTCTTCTTTTTTTTTTTTGAGACGGAGTTTCGCTTTTGTTACCCAGGCTGGAGT